TTTTTTTTTAAAAATCCATAAGTACATTCCCTTTCTGTCTATTTTGAATAGCACAGTGATACCTCTTAGGTACCTATCTTCTTGTCAGCAGTAATATTAAACACAGGCAGGGAGCAGACATTTGTCTAAACACTAGTGTGGTAATTGTTTAACTAGGTGACGTTATCTGACTGTGTTGAAAGTATGCACTTCACCTATGCAAATCCTTTGGCCTTCCTTAGAAAATGTCAGCAAAAGATCTGGTGAACCGAACTCAAGTGATAGGTGTTACAGATGAGATAGGAGCATTCTAAGTTTTTAAAACACTGTTGAAAGTGTAAGATTCTCTCCCCTCTCATCTCCTTCTATTTCCCCAAGTCAAGTAATTTATTCTGTCCCCAAAGATGCTTGTCTTTTTTGAGAGCAGTTTATAAAAAATAATTGCATTTGCAAGCAAAGATTTAGTGCATCTTTTAATGCACAGAACATAGCATAATATTTTTGCTATGAGTTTTTTTGATGTAAATTTATCTCATTTAGAACCAACAGAGAAGAATTAGTTATGGCTTTCCATTGCTTTGTTTTCTATATGAAGTACAGTATGCTTTTGGAAGTGTTTCCTCTGTATACAAACTGCAGAACAGAGGTGTGAAACTGTAATAGTTTATTGTACACCATAGAGATGGTGATAAGATATTATATCTTTTGCTGAAGTTACATGAGATGTTAAAAATTTCAAGCTCAGTTACTGAATTCTCTCAAAAAGGAGGTGGCCTGAGTTCTCAGGCAGGGTGGTGCAGCTCCTGTGCACACAAGCACACGAGAGACTCCTTTCTCACTGGCAGTGGATGGGAGAGGTGCTCCTTGTAGTATCCCAGCCTACTAACTCCTGAGGAAAATATTTTGGGCCTGTCGTAGTTTACGAGGAGCAAAAGGTCTTGTAAGGCAATACGTTTGAGTGCCAGGCTCCCGTGTTGCTGGTGAGTGCGTGGCAGCGGGTGGCTCTGGCCAGGAAGGGAAAACCTGTGGAGCATCACCTTCCCTTTAATTTCTTTCCCAGCCGCTCCAATTTGAAAGGGACCACAAATGCCGAGGAAGCAAAGCTGGGGTCTCAGGTCGAGGTTGGGAAACGGCTAGAAGATCAGCGCCGCCGCCGAGGCGAGAATGAGGAGTTTGAGAAGCTGAAGGAGAAGCAGCAGGAGGCAGCAGCAGAGCTGGATGAGCTGAAGAAAAGGCGGGAGGAGCGCCGGAAAATCCTGGAGGAAGAGGAGCAGAAGAAGAAGCAGGAGGAGGCAGAGAGAAAAGCCAGAGAGGAGGTAAGTGTAAACTATGAAGTATTGGACTCTGTTTTTATACCCTTGCTGTTACTACTCTACTTCTGCTGGCTTTGCATTAGGTGATATCTCTTTACAGCAGTACCTGCACAGACACTTTCAGGCAAAGAAGTTGGTGGGGCTGGAGGTCGATGGGTCTGTATTTAACAAAAGGGTAGAATGAGGCCATGGGAGGCTGGGTCATAGGTGAGGAAGGAGTGTGCAACAGGGAAAGCAAGACCAAACCCAAGCATACAGGACAAAGCATGCTGCTTCTTGGATCTGATGTTGCTGTGTTGGGAATTGCTGCTGTGACTTTGCTTCAAATTACACCCTTTATCTGGGCGCTCTGGGTTGCGTGCCTTTCTGGGCATGGCTGGTTTTTAGCGTCTGTCAGGAGGTGGCCTGTTGCAACAGACCTTGCTTTCAAATATATTACCCAGCATTAAAATCACCCCATTTTATAACCTTCAGGTTTAACTGCAAGCATGCCATACTTGTTATCAAGCGACCACATCACATAGATGCTGTAGTGAGGACCTGAGTCATTCAGTCATGAGGACATGCAGACATCCAGAGTAGAAAGAAATGTTGTAGCCCTATCCTCAGGAAAGACAGGGCTCCAACAACTGTCTTCGCAAGTCAGGATTTCATGTGAGATAGTTGCAAAGTTCTTATCTTCTTGGGGATGCAAAATGTTGTGGGCAGTGTTATAGCCACAGAGTTCTTAATTTATTCAGGGTGGCTTTTTGACATTACACAAATTGAACTATAAAGCGCATGTCAAAATTCGTCTGCTGCAGACGAGCTGGAATGCTAATATATATAGTTACGATGGGCTAGATCTCATTAGGAAGATATTCGCATCTATTTAAATATTGAGTGCCCAAGCACATCTGTTTGCTTGTACTTTCTCTGCCAAGGGACTCTATAAATAGGATTTCCAAATCTCTGGTGCATCATTTAGGAGTCTTAGTTGTTTGGAAAACAGATGGTAGATGAATAATAATAGTGTTTGGCAGCTGAATGCCAATTGCTTTAATATACTAAGCTCTTTACAGTAGAACTCAATAGATGCTGAGGTTGCACAATACCTTGCTGGTCAGACCCTGCTGACCAATGCTTACCATGGTTGTAGTTTGAGGGCTTCTGATTTAACTTGCAACTTATGAAGTAAAAACTCATCTCTTTGGGGGGAAAACGGTAAGCATTTCATTTTCACTTTTTTGGGAACCTATTGATTTTTCCTTGTGAAGTATTAACCTTGGTGCAACAAGGGCCAGAGTAAATGGACACAACAGTATGAAAATGATACATGAGGATACAGAGAAACTGAATTTCAGTATTTTTATAAATGTGCTTTTTTCTCTCTTTAAGTGGCACTATATGGCAATAAATCTGGTGACCTCACTGTGTGGAGACACTAAAGCAGCACAGACAAGCTGTATTCCCTGCTTCCTTACCAGTGTGATGATGGATTAGCAGCAATATGTTGCTAGATTTCAGATAGGTCACTGAACTTTTTTGACCTGCATGAAAAACTGTTCTTAGAAAATTTGGTACGGGTTTCCAGAACTGCAAAGCCCTGTAATGGTGATGTAGTTTCTGAAAGAATAAGTGACTATTCATCTTTTTTTAAGGAGGAAAAGAGGAGGATGAAGGAAGAAATTGAAAGGAGAAGGGCTGAAGCTGCTGAGAAACGTCAAAAGATGCCAGAAGATAGTGTATCTGAAGACAAGAAGCCATTTAAGTGTTTCAGTCCTAAGGGTTCATCTCTCAAGGTAACGTCCCACTAGCATCTATATAGTACATAAAAAGTAATTGGGGGTTGCAGTCCAAACCAACAGCCAAACACCAAAGCAGTGTGGAAATACTTGAAATCAGACCTGGGACAATGCTCTGAAACAGGCGTTAGCCTGAAACGTTTAGCTGGAAGACTTCATTCATTGGGATGATTGAAAATTAGAGATCCTTTCTAAAAATAGTTTCTAGACTGGGAGTTACCTGTTCTTGTTGATGAAAAATGTCCAAAAAGTATCTTCACCTTCAAGAGAAAATTACTTTGGAAACTTAGAGCTGTATTACTCTGTTGATTTTCAATGTTAATTTATCATAAGAGTGCTTTGTGAACTGGAGGAGATAAAGATCACAAATGTTCTCTCCTTCCACATCCACAATTACTTTCTTCCTTGCCAGATTACTTTGTCTCTAAGCATATTCAGCCTAATCATCATTAATTGAAACTGCCCCATATGGGAGTTCTAGTTTATGTCTAATCCCCCTAAAAATAACATCTAGAAGTACTGGACTGGATTTAATTTTCTTACATAACAGGAAAAAGAAACCCCTAAAACAATTCTGTTGCTGCAGGAATTTCTAAGTGGTCTTCTGTGGCCTATATTATATTGGAAGTCAGATAAATCAATTAAATGGCCTTTTGGTATGGAAGAGGAATCCTGGCCCCACTGAAATTATTGGGAACTTTGCTTTGCTATGCAGTCCAGTTGCTTTCTCAGCTCAGGCTCAAACTACAGATCTATTAATCGTTTTCAGCTATCTTTTGCTTTTCTTATTTTGTGTCATTAGTCATTTAAGAATTGGAAATGTTTGTCAAAACAGTCCCCTTACCCTTAGTGGGCACTAGGAAAGAAAAGAACCAGGCAAGAGTTTATCAGGTAGGAGCACATTGCACCATGGAGTGGAACTCCATGGGATTAAGAACTGTATCTGTTGAGTGACAAACTGCATTTGGTCAAAATTACATTTCTGCTCACAGAGTGCTACACTTTGAACCGATTTGGAGCTTCAGCCCTATACTGTCTCGGGCCCAGTTCTAGTAAATACAGTGCCCAAACACTTTTGACTGGACTTGCCTTTGACTTCTCAGACACATCTGAACTTGAAATACAAGGACAGAATACACAGAGCTATGCAAAGATTGCCAGTCTTCACGACTTGCTCCTATTATATTAACCTGGTTTTGCCATTTCGGTTGCAAAAGACCATGTCAATAACAGACACTATAAATGTATGGCTTCTTCCCAGCCCTCCTGGGAGGGCTTCTTTTTCTTCTTTCTGTTTATTGAGATGCCTTTTATGACATACGTTTGGAGCTTTAGTTCACAGATGACTCAGAAGAGAGGAAATTACACTTGAAAACACATAATAGAAAGATATACATCATAATTTTGGGGAGAGTGGGAAAAAACACTGGATTTGGCAGGAGGTTAATAACTTTCAGATAACTTTTGGACTGAAGCTACGCTATTCTACTAAGCGTATTTTTAGAGGAAAGCTGGAATTTTCCAAATGTCGTTAAGCATCCAAGCTCCAATTTTTTTGTGATGATAATTGCTTTTGGGTTTTATGGCTTGTTAGGTAGAAGTTGTTTGTTACTAAAACTGATATGTGTGACTCTGTACACATTTTTTCTCTTTCTCTGTTTCTCCGAGAAATTGATGATACTGTACATATTCCTGCCTGGTGTCTGTGGGTGGCCAGAGTAGATATGTAATGCTGTTGAACTTCACACCCTAAACTGTTTCTTGGCCTTCTGTGGTCAGCAGCTGAGGAAGGAATAAACTCCATTTTAATAACTTGATGTCAAATTTGATGTCAAACTCTGTTTTTTAGAAGACGCTATATTTTGTTACCTTTCATTTGGACAGACTTCTCAGGCTGGTCTAACCTGGTTGGTACACAGCTTTCTCATTGCCTGTTATGCACTGCCCAGGTTATCTTTTGGCTTGTGAAGCATCTGGCACATATTTTATCCCTTGATTAATGTATCTTCTGGTTAGATGTGCCATGGGTGATGTGAGAACCTTAAGTGCACAATTGTGGGTAGGCAGTTGGAATTAATAATGAAAAAAGGGAGGTTCAGTATTAAAATACTGTATGATACATGTGCATATTCTGAGTTGTCCTAAATTACAAAAAAAAAGTTTTTGGGAAGAAAAAGAAGTTCCTGGGAGTGACTTAGATGAGGAAAGTAGGGCATGCTGTTTACCAAGTGAACTACTAGAACAAAGGAAAGAAGGGAGATAAACTGGAAGGGAGTGTGGCATATTACCATCTTATGGACACTGCATTTATCCATCAGGCAGGGCATGGACTAGCATGACATGCAGACTCAGAATTGAGAGACCAAGACGTGCAACTCATCTCCATGTATTACGTGGCTCATGGATGCACATATATAAATGCTTGTATACAAACACGGACATAATATACCTACATGCTTATATTTAGAAAGAACTACTGTGACTAGTCTGGCCTCTAATATGTCAACAGCCTACGCAGTTTGACAACTTGTGTTGTTTTAACTGTTAAATACAGTGTTTCCCTGCAACCTGTGACACTACTTCGGCAGAACTGCTACTGCAGCATCGAGTCCTCCCAGTGACAGCACCAGGGCTGGTCCGTTCTGAGGGGACAGTGAAGAAGCAGCATGCAAAGTAAATACAGGCCAAATCCATCACTAGCTCAAGGACAAAAGCAGCTTGGATTTCTCAGGGCTGGTGGGCAGTAGCAGCAGTAGCAAACCTCTGTTCAGCCTCTGCCCTCTCTCTTGTTTTTTTTTTCATAAGGACAAAGACTGGAACAACCTCTGCTGCTCTCCCATCCCACTCTAGCTCATGCTTTTCCTAGTTTAGTTGACACAAATGGTGCTGCAGTAGAAGAATGAGATTTCCCGCATAATCTTTGTTCATTTTCCTTTTTAGACAAGTTCATTCCTCATATTTTCTTTGGGAAGGACTGTTACTGACTTGTATAACTATTCTCTAGGTTAATCAGGAGAGAACAGGACATTTCAATACTATGTTTCCTCTTGGGGGTGAGTTCCACTACTACAGAAATGCAAAAACTGTTAGGCATTGAGGGGAGGAAGCAACGGCAGGAGGCTGAGAGCCTGGGATATCTTCTGTCTTTGCAGAAAATGTCTCCTGGGAAACACGGGCTGATGCAGCAGCCCACACTCTCTGCAAGGCAATAATGACAGCTAAGCCAGAAGATAGGACTTTTCAGGGCTTGAGATTCTTTTTTCTTCCTTTCCTTAACAACCTGTCTTGTCCTATCTCATTATTGCTCTCAGTACCTGACAGCTGGAGCAGTGACTGGGAAGAATTAGACTCCACACAATCAGTTCTTTCTAGATGAGCTACTCTTGCGGCAGCGGGAAGATAGAGTGGTAAGAACAGGATTTGTGACATCTGTTCTTCCCCCATCTTTGACGCTGACAGCAGGACTCTAGTCTGGCAGGTAAACTGGAGTAAATTGGTGCACTCTGCACAGATGCTGCTGACAGCAGCAAAAAGCCTAACTGTGCTTAATGAAGCAAAAGAGCATGTGAGCCGCTCAGGGGATAAGGAGAAGCCACTTTACTCCCAGGGTCTACCACTCAAAATGGATTTCCACTAGGTTCTTCGAGCTGTTGGATATAAAACAAAATTATAATACAGGGATTTCTGTTTTCTGCATGCATTTTTTACTCACCTTCCTCCTTGACGCAGTTTTTGAGAGGAGTTTTTGTATATATCAGTTTACAACATTTTCTGTCACATAATATCTAATACACACTTTAAACTTCCTAAGAATCATTTAATACTTTTATATGAAACAAGTTTAACTGGGAATATCTAGATGGTTTTTGTTTCCCAAGTCATTGGCTCAAATTGTGTGTTAACTCATTCCTCTTCCATTCTGTTTCTGTTCTTGGAGAATGTACAGACAAAAGATGCTGCACTTTGACACCCACACTTCAACTGCGTTTTTAATAGGCGAGACATTTCTTGCACAATCAGCAAACAAAACACGTCTATGTACTTGAGGGTGGATAAATGCATATATAGATCTCTCTATAACACCTTGCTTAATTTATTCCTTGCCACTTGTATGTGCTGACCTGGTTGAGAAAGGCCCTAATGAGGTGTGAGACTCCACATGGCTTTGTCCTGTTTCATTTCATCTGACTTTATCAGCAGAAGGGCAGGTGTCCATCTAAGCATGTTGTTGTCTAATCTAAGCTACTTTGGTAGTTAATAGAGTGAAAGCCAAGGACAAGCAATCCCACCTTTCCTAGGGTGAGGTAAGGTCCTCTGTCTCTCCACTGACTATAGAGGGAACCAAAATGAGTAATTTTGACTAAATGCTTAAATGCCAAGCAACTGAGGTTAGGTGGGAGAGATGCAGCCTGAGATCTTGCGCTCTTTGTCTCTGGTCATAATTTAATTAGAGGCCGGCAGGTTGACTTTTCAGAGTAAGTGTGTGTTCCTTATCAGAGGCTTTGGAAAGTATTCCATGGTGACAAAACATAGTCCAAGCTATTAACAAGATCCTATTAAAATGAATGCAGAAAAAAGATTGTTCTTATTCCCTGGTCTCAAATTGAGGAAATATTTTTGTATTTTGTGCTAACCACCTTGCTTTGCCTATTTCTCTTACAGATCTATTTTGTAATACTGTTTACTGTATGTGCCAAACGTTTTAAATTCTTTGCATGGAGTTTGTGTGATGTGCAGTGGATAAATGACCTTTAGATGTTGCTGTGCATTCTAAATTCATTTGACCTATATGTTGAATACACATGTGCATACAGGTGTGTTTGCTCTAAGTGTATTCAGTGTATGCTTCTGTTCCATGCATACTGTGTTTTGAGGAAGGTACTCTGGAAAAAATTCTCATATAAATGTGTAGAAAATGTGTTATCCATCCACATAAGGCACCTGATTCCTCGGGAAGAGGACCATATTCAGCTCGGAGGGTCGCTTCCCAACTCTGCTTTCCTGTTTAAAGTATTTTCTGGTTTGCTTCCTCACTCTCCTGTTCTGAAAAATCTCTCACTCGTTCCTGATACCACAGCAGGTGCTCTGAGAATCGTTGTTTCCAGCAGGTAGAGAATGACTTTTTACTACAGCCCCAAGAATACGTGTCCATCTTCCCCCCAGCCTATCCCTCTCTTACACCAGTGACTACTGGTGCCAGGTTTTCCTGCAGCGTATAAATACTTCTCCCTCATAAACACAGGAAGACTATAAAGAGTCTACCATTAGCATCTTTTATGATCTCTCCCTTTTATAAGATTTCAAGTGGAATCCCAGTTCATCTGAACTAGAATATGCTGTAAATGAATTATTAGATGGTTACCTTGAGTCCTGTTTTTTTGAGGTAGTCCGGGTTGTTCATCCTTTCTGCCAGCCGGGGTTTCACTGACTGACGCAATCGGGGAATGATCTGTTCATGCAGATCATGGGTGAAAAGGGTGTCTCTTGTTGGTATAACTCATCATTTTGATGCATTTGCTGCTCATGACCCAGAAATCTGCGTTGTGGGAAACTTTTCCGACTGTACCATAATTGAGGAGATGTGACATATTTTACCTTACCATCATAGATCTGTTTAGTCGCTTTTGATCAAATAATTTACTTGCTCATTTTATGGCAATTCTGACTGTATTTCCTCTGGGTGAAACCAAGCTGTGAATCGTTCAGGCTGGCAGAGGGAAAGCTGCAGCTCCCGACCCATGTGGGTGAAAAATGGCTCTTCAGCTCCTGCCTGGTGTATTGCTGCCACCGTGTGACACCAGTGCGTGGGAACAGTTGGTACCTATCCAAGCAAAGCCCATCTTTCCATCCAGGACTGTATTTAGATCCTATATTGGCAACTAAAACTGTTAGTGTAAATCAATCTGTAAATTGTATATATTTTTTTAGAGGTGCCTTTGAGTTGGATTGATGCTAGGTGGAGTTCTTCCAGTGAGCTTGTTTGGCAAATTCTGCATGGAGGTGAACTGCCTGAGTGTTTGCTTGTATGGGCTTGAGAAATAAAACATGCATGCCCTTTGATGGGACTGCTGTGGGATTTAGTATTGTGGTACATCCGGGATGTTAAGGAGAACCATTTAAAGGAATGACTGTCATTGCTCTATTTTGAAGGCACAAATGCCACAGCAGTCACTGTTAAAGTAACTTGAAAATGGACAACCCTTACTGATACTGGGGAATCCACAGGAATCCAGCCAGGCTGATTAACAGTAATTTCTATTCCTTGGAGCTGCTTTTGTGTATTTTACTCTCAAGTGAAACTGTAGAGCCTGGGATAAGAAGTGGAACAATGCAAAGTGGAAGACACATAAGGAAGTTGATTAAAGCATTTCTTGACTCAGAATGCAAATAGATTCCCCCTGTCATGAAATGTTTTCAAACTTTATTCAGGGATGGAGCCTTTCTGTTTTCAAATTATCAAGAGATTTGACATAAGTCTTATGAGACCTTCATGATTCTTTTTCCCTAGAAACATTACAATATTTTCCTACACGCAGAGTAGAAAACAGTGATGAAATGCAAGATACCAGTTTGTGTAATAACAGCTCGTAGATATTGACTCAGCAATGACCCTGCTGAAAATTTGTCAGTGTCCTGCAAATCATGCATGAGAGAGGGTATGTGGCTGAGCTCCAAACCTGGCCTAGTCTGATGTCTCAACTCAGAAAAACTTTATTAAATTTGCTTTCTGTCTCAAGAGGTACATACTTGCTCTAATGTGGGAGATATGAGGAAATTTGACATAGATTTTGTGAATATCAACCCCTTTCGTAAGGTAAACTTCTTCCCTTTTCTCTTTTCTATACTGGTGGTTTAGTCTCTTGTTACAAATGAGGCACTGAAGAAATACTCAGGATGCAAACATTAATGCAGAAAATATATCCACCCTTGTGAATCTGCAGCATAACAGGCTCCTAACTATAAAACCTGTGTGTGTGTCTGTGGTGGTTTCTGTTGGAATGCATCTCTTTCAGATTGACCTTTTGACATTTAAAAATACATTTTAGCCTGGTCTTGTGCCTTTTTATTAACTTATAGCTCTTCTTTCTCTCCTTTCTAGATAGAGGAGCGAGCAGAATTTTTGAACAAATCAGCTCAGAAGAGGTAAAGCAATAAAACAGTAGGTTCAGTCAAACCAGCAGTGTTTAACTGGCGGGAATAGTAATTTCTTTCTCTCTTTTTTTACATCCTACAGCGGTATGAAACCCACCCACACAACGGCAGTTGTCTCAAAGATTGACAGTAGACTTGAGCAATACACTAGTGCAATTGAGGTAAGTTAATTCCAGCTCACGATGGCTCTAGTTACTAATGGCTTTTGGGACTTTAATCAGCCTGTGTCTTACTGTTCAAGAATTGCAGGGATTTGGGGTCATAAACTCTTTTTTTAATGCAACTTCAAGAACAAAATTCTTGAGGCACGCCTATAACTAGCATCTAGATATGTATTTAAAACAACCCTCAGACTCGTGGCTTCCCTTTCATGCCACAATTTGCTCTGCTTTGTAAGCTTGGGAGTACCTCTTGAAGGACTCGGTCAGCATCTCTTGAGGGACAGTCACATCCTCTTCTTGGCTGATGAGAGCGCTATCAGCAGAGAGCTGGTAGTCACCCCGAGCAAAGCTGACTTAGCAGCTTCTTAAGAGAGCAAGGGACTGGGCCTGTGTTGCTGGCTGCCACTTCAGAGTGAAATTCCTTGCCAAAGACAGACACTTCAGTGAACTAGGGAGTTAAGTAGTGACCTGCTTTAGCAGGAGGGTTGGACTAGATGATCTCCCGAGGTCCCTTCCAACCCGTGCCATTCTGTGGTTGTGATTCTGTGACAAAGGAAAAACAGAATCAAAACAAATCACAGAATTTGACCCCAGGTGATTTTGACAAGTAGTGGTTAATAACGTGCCTTGAAGCCAGAATTGAGGGCTGCTTCTTTTCATAGTGCAAGGAAAGATAGGTGTTTGGCTTTTTTGGTTTGGGTTGGGATTTTTTAGATGTTTTTATAAATCAGTGGGTACAGGCAATGTGAAAGCTACTGGTTAATATAGCAGGCCAACTGGACTGGGTTGGTAAGTGTCATGGGAATAGAACAGGATAAAAAGGGATATTCTCTTGATAGCTGTGATTAAAGTCTAGCACTTCTTTATTCCCTGCTGGATTTTTTTTCTCCTCTTGTTCACATATAGAGTCTAAGCATGGTATTCCATTAAGGTATTAATTGGTTAGGCTTTATCATCCTTTAACTTAAAGGAAACTTTAGTAACTTAAAAGAAAATTTAGCCTTAACAAAGGCATTTTTCTGTGACTGCCCTCTGTTTAACATTTCTGCTAGGAAGCCTATCAGTGCTGGAGAGTTTTATACTGTGTGTCAGTTCCCCCCTCCAAAAAAAGCACATGCACGACAGTGCTGAAGGCTCAGGCTTGCCTCCAGCACCTGTGTAAGCTGAAGGTAGCTCAGACCCCTCCGTTAGAGATGAATGTCAGCATGGCACCCAGTAGTCCCCATATCATTGAAGTAGGAGCATACAGCTTCTGTTCTCCCACTTTACCCTGCACCTCTTCTGGATGAGACATAACCACCCTAGCGTGATGAAGGGCTTTAATTTGGCACTGGAGTTTGACGTTAAACTTCTTAAAAAGAGTGGATGGGTTGGAGTTACAGCTCTGCCTGTCGTAAGAAATTTATGTGGTAGTGAAGTCGAGGTTTGTCAACCCATAAACACTGGTCCAGCCCACCCACAGCTTGTATCAGGTTCTCTAGTATTTTCAGTAGGGCTGTGCTAAGGTCCTGAATCTTTATGCTGCATTTAGATATTAAAAAGCATAGCTCTATGGCAAGGGGCAGGCAGCATAGCTTCACAGCTATATACAGCTCCCATCTGACCTGAAATTATTCCTTTGCTGAGTTTCTGGTTTTTCCAAAAGTTGCTAAATCTGACTTGCTTTGCACCTAGAGATGCAAAGCCTCAGCTCATACAGGTTCTTGTTCTCCTCAAATCTGTGTTATGTAAAATGTACAAGAATTTTGAAAAGAAGGAGCGGGAGAAGTTTGGCCCAGTGTTTTCGGTAATCACGCAAAAAACCTGCACTGCCAAAACCCCCCTCAATCCCCCAACCCCCCACTCTTTAAAAAAACACCTCACTCCAAATATACTGTAATTGCTGAAATTTACCCCTAGAATCCCAAGTTGTAAGGTTAAGCTGTCTGAGACAGATGAAGCTGAGTCTGACGCTGAATGACAGAGCAGAGCAGCTTTTCTCCCCTGCCTCTGCATAAGGATTTCCCTAGCTGTGTCCCTGAAAGAGCCATGCTTGCACGATGCAGGTGCTAAAACTTGAAAGAGGAAAAATTAAAGCCTTGAAGCAGTTGTGGGCAGAGCTGTGGCTTGCCATGAGGTTTAAAAACGTAACAAATGCAAAAATCTAAGTGACTGCAGTTTTCATAGCCGGTTGTGTCAAGGGTGCAACTGCAAATCTAAAGGGGGAGTCTCAGTGTCACCTCTTGAGCTGGGTACTCCTTTCCGTCACTTCATGATCATGGTTAGAACCACTTACAGTTGCTGCATTCCCCAGCACTTCCCCAGAGTCAAACCACCCTGCAACTCCAGCTCTTTATGCCAAACACCAACTCACCTCTATTCTTCTGCAGGGCACAAGGGCTGCCAGACCAGCTAAGCCAGCAGCTTCCGACCTTCCTGTTCCAGCCGAGGGTGTCCGTAATATCAAGAGCATGTGGGAGAAAGGGAATGTTTTTTCATCACCCTCTGGGACAGGAACACCAAATAAGGTATGTGTTTAATTTCACATAGTGATTATAAAGAATTATGTTATGGGCCTGACCTTGCCATTCATCCTATGAGTAAGCCTGGCTGCTCCTGTTGACATCACCGTTGAAGAATATCCCAAAGGATCCTGAGGTCCTCAGAAACCCGCAAAATTGTGTGGCTGCAATATTGAGTATAATAGAAGAATTTAGTGACATACTGAGCTAAGTTATGAGACATTCCAGAACCACATCAGATATCTTAGACAAATATATTTGGGTAGTTCAAGCAGAGTACAAAGAAATTCTTTGTGTTGGGAAAGATTCTTTTGGGAGGCAGAGGAGGATTAGATAGGCAAGCTAATGATGATATTTGATAGATAATGCATAGAAGCATTTGTGAGACCTTTATCTTTTCTACATAAATCATTAAGGCAACATTTCCTTTCTATAAATTGATGCTAGTTGATGAGCATTCATCATAACCAAGAACCTGAACCATGAATTGAAGGGAGTTATTACAAAGAGTGGTGAAATTTCAGTAATTTGTTCTAACCTTTTAAAGATTTATTTTAATGATTTAAATTTTAGGCCACTTAACTCCTCTATTATGTGGGTTTTTTTGAAAAATTTTAGTTTAACAAAACAAAAATGTAAACTTAGACTGGTGCCTCTTGTTCTTTTAGGCTAAAGATTTTTTCACCTTGGAGTTTGGGGTTATGACAAAAAGAGCAGGTGTACGTCTAACGTTTATTCCTGGGTTAGCAATATACTAAAAATGATTTCGTTAGCTCACATTTATCATTATTGAAAACTAGAGGCTAGTAGTACTGTATAGTTTATAGGGATAATATTTTCCGAGCACACAGGACGATTCTTGGCTAGCAATAGTCCCAGTGAGGACTTCTATATTAAACTCAGGCTTGGCTTTGTTTTTAAATCTAAACCATGAAAAACATAGCAAAGGCTATTATGAAAGTCTTCTGATTAGATTTTACTATTTTTCAGGAAACTGCTGGACTGAAGGTTGGTGTCTCCAGTCGTATCAACGAGTGGTTAACCAAGACCCCAGAGAGCAACAAATCACCTGCTCCAAAACCTTCTGTAAGTAAATTTGCAACAACAATCTCTTCAGTAGGTGGGTTCTCTCCTGGGGCAGAGGTGGTGACAGTGCTTCCTCAGCCAGCTGATGGTCTTTGGAGGAACCTTGCTGCGTGTCCTCTCTTGGAAGCTCACAGAGGCCCTCTGGCTGCTGATTCCTGGGTACTCAGAAAAATGGGGGATGAAACAGGACAGTCCTCACCTTAAAGTTTAGGGGTGCTCTGAAAAGACAGTGCTCAGAGAAGCACTTCTCTGGTAGAGAAGGACATTAATTTACCACCTGTGAAAGGCCTAACATTAATTTAGAAAATACTAGCCATAGACCTTGGATGAAACACTTGTGCTTTGGCCCTTGCCCTGTAAAAATCTTTCAGGGTATTTTTAAACCCAACTGAAATACTTCAGCCCTTAAGAGCCTAAATGGCATTTTTAATGAAGACCCTTTAGCGTGTCCATTACTTCAGCAAGAATCAGATCAGAAAATGCTATCAAAGTGATAAGCTGGGAGTGTGGGAAGCAGAAGTGTGGGAAGGGGCAGAAACAGGTAATTGTGGGATGTGGAAGGGTAGGGGTGAGGACTGGAGCTGTAAGTGTCCATATTGGAGAATGGCAGGGTATCACGTGATGTGTTAATGATTCAGCTTGGGGATTTTATTAAAGAACTGGTTTCTTTCCATATCCTTGTGTAGTATTTTTCTGCCAGAAAACTTGCCTTTTGTATAAAAGGTGTAGCCTTGACAAATGCTTTCTCAATTCACACTCCTATTTGTCCCAAAGAGGAGCTGGAAACTTTGCAGCATTGTCCCTAATGTCAGTAGTTACTGGTAGCTACATGGAGATTGTGTCTTTATGGACATGGATATAAAAATGAAAGAAGCCATGGTGGTCACTGTGTTTAATCACAATGGCTGAAAACTAGCACTGAATCTGCCTCCAGATTTTCCTCTCTTTCTGTTAGGTTGCATCTTTTAGATAATGTAAGACTAACCTCTTGTTGTCCCCTCAGCCAACTGTTTCCATCTATGTCTTCCTTTCCCTGTTTCTCAATAGATTGTTCTTTCTTCTTTCAATATTTCTACTTGAAGGAACCTGCCCTCCTCCTATTCTTCTTCTTTGAGAGTCTGTTTGCTAAGGTGGTCAGGTAAAACTGTTTATGACTAAGAAGAATGATATGTCTATAATATGTGATTTTTACTTTTTTTACCATGATAAATCAAAGTAAAACCTAGAATTTCTTAGTTAGCAAGTTCCTGCCCCCATCACATTACACCAAAATAAAGAATCATTCAGAGCTTCAAGACCATCAAGATTCTTGTGGGTTTTGGAACAATATTCAATTAAAAGTAGAGGGAGCAAAGATCTCAATTAGTTTCATGATCACAGACCCCAAATGATTTCAGGATTATGGAATTAGTTTTGTGATTAGGTCCACTGCAATTTTGCTGTTTTCTTCCTTCTTTTGTTACTGCTGAACTCACTTTTTGAAGTACAGAACTGACTTAAAGTCTTAATCATCAGCAACCCTCTTTGGCTGTAAATTATGATCAATTCTCGAGCATCTCTGTTGGGTGCAAATACCCCTTGCAGGAATCACATTTCCATTCATCACTGGGCATTTTTCTATCACAAATTAGAAAATCTCATGTGCAGAAATCTACCTGTCTATGGATGGCAAGAATAAGGTTCTGGAAAAAGTGCAGGGCTTGAGCACTTTTTGAAAAGGAGAGTACTTATGTCCAAAATTGTTTCAAGATCCTTTTGTTTGCCAGCCACAGAGGTAGATACCAATCCATCTGTTCTTAAGCAGGTGCATTGCTACTGTCTTAGCATATGTTGTCTTGATTTGTGGCTTTTCCCCAAGAAACAGCTTGACGTTTTTACTGAGTTTTACTTAAAGTCTGCATATACACTAATTTTCAGAGAATGTTATTATTTTTTTAATGACTTTACCTCACTGTTTTGGTTTTTTTTCTGTCACGCTAGTGATTGTTACATGCTAAGGTTTTAAAGGATGCAATGGAAATTCAAATGGATATGAAGGTCTAGAGTGTTAAATCCTGAAACCTATATTTAAGAATGCAGAGGAGGGTCTGCTTTTCTGTTGTGATAGAAGTTCTATTTTTTTTCAGTTTTTTTAATGAAATATTTTGATTCTGATCTAAAATAACTGAGACACGCTACTTTTTAATTCCTCCCTAATAGAAATACTATTTCTGAAAAAAAATCTTTTTGTTTGCAAAAATTGGAATTGTCTTTCTTAAAAACCTGATGGTGCAGTAACCTTTCGCTGTACTCCCTAGGACGAACATAATACGTTATGACTAGTCTGTCTGATACTAAATGGATGCAGTGGGATTGTTTTTTATTGTAAAGCATGTGTATGTGTGGAATGATTATGTGAAGTATCATTCTAAATAGTGTTATAATTGATAGATAATGTAATATTTACCACTGGTGGATGGTCCTCAACTTTTCTTATGAGGAAGCCATGTTCTAACCTTTTTTCTACCAAATTAAAATAAACCTGAACTAATATTGTTTTTTGTTCTCTGACATTCATTTAAAAATACAGGATTTAAAACCAGGAGATGTATCCGGCAAACGTAATCTCTGGGAGAAACAGTCTTTTGAAAAGTCATCATCTTCTTCTTCTAAGGTAACACTTCAGTGCGTTGTTAAAAGGATAGTATCTCTGCAGGAGGCTTTCTAGTGGGAAGGTGCTGTTTGCCTTCATGTGGTCGGTTAGTTGGAATTAGGCCTCTACATGTCTTTTGTTACTAACCTGCCTCTCTACCTATAGAAGAAAGTACGAGGCACTGAAAGGCAGCATGCAGCGTGTAACTTTTGTATTCCTATTTGGCAGAGCTGTGTTGTACGTAGAAATCTGTCCTTTGCATGGAGTTGATTTTTTTTCCTGTTATAAATAGCTATGTTTTCCCATAATCAACTTTAATAGTGGGCTATTACTTCTTTAAACAGGTATCAGCTATGGGGAAAAAATCAGAGACTAATGGTAAGTAATTCTAATAATACATCTGCATATTCAATAGAAACCTTACCACATTTTACTACACGCACATCTGAGTTTCAAAATTCTACAGCTGTTAATGTTGATGCAAGAAAAAAACCCTTTTTGGCTTTACCTTTCAAAAACTCCATTGAAACACCATCAAAACATGAATGTTTGAGAAATAAGTCTAAATAATCTTCTAGGAGGGCTGAGGACTAGTGGTGCTGCAGCCATGTTTGCAAAGCCTTGAGTGACATGTGTTGTATGTTTGCTGTAGCTGCAGAGTGTTATTAAACTATGTGAGGTCCGAGGAATGGGATAGTCATTCAACTAATTACAGCAAATGCAAGGCGCCTGG